ACTGTTCTAAGTGCTTTAGTTTCTAGTCTTCACAACAATCTTTTGAGGTAGTCAGTATTATTATTTCTGCTTTCCAGATGGGAAATTGAGGGACAGAGAGGTTTAGTAATTTGCCCAGGGTCCCAATGCTGGTAAGTGGGGGAGCTGGGATTTTAACTCAGGCAGTCTGGCTCTAGAGTCTCTGCTGTTGACTTCTGTGCCAAACATGCCTCTTTTAGATTGAGCGTTTTATTGCCATGTCCTGCTGCCTCTGCTTTGTTTACTTACCTTATCTACCCATTGGCATTCAAATTAAAACACTTCCCAACACTTGAGCCTGGGCTCCAACCCTTTTCATTGTTACCTACACCCATGATGGGCTTTTGTCTTCCATTAAGGCCCAACTTTCATCACTGGAAATTGGCACCTCACCTCAGACAGAAGAAATTCCTTTCTTCTCTGAGCTTGTGAGCCCATTGTCTAGGTCTTTCTCTCTTACACTTAAATTGCTCAGCTAACTAACACCAGCTCTTCATTTACAAGCTTTGGTTCTTTCTATTACTCTAAGTTCCAGAAGATTGTTTCTTTCTCCCCCTCAAAGTTCTCTGCCCATAGGACATACTCCATAATTTATATGTCTAATTTTTTTTTATTTTGAGACAGAGTCTCACTCTGTTGCCCGGGCTAGAGTGCCATGGCATCAGCCTAGCTCACAGCAACCTCAAACTCCTGGGCTCAAGCAATCCTCCTGCCTCAGCTTCTCAAGTGGCTGGGACTACAGGTGTGCATCACTTCACCCGGCTAATTTTTTTTTGTTTTTAGTTGCCTGGCTAATTTTTTTCTATTTTTAGTAGAGACGGGGTCTCGCTCTTTCTCAGGCTGGTCTCAAACTCCTGACCTCAAGCTATCCTCCCCCCTCAGCCTCCTAGAGTGCTAGGATTACAGGCGTGAGCCACCACTCCCACCTGGCCTTATATGTCTAATTAATCAACAGAAAACAAGCCCATTCATAAACAGAACAACTAATTTACATATTAATAAGCAGAGTACCCTTTCTGCTCCGTTTCCCCTCATGCCTGCTTGTCCTTTGATCATCAGCCATCAGGCCTGGGGGTGGGGGCTGGTGCCTCCACCAGATTTTACTGTCAGGTTCCACTGAGTTATAACGAATACCCCCATCCCCTTCCATCTCCATAGACAGAATTCTTCCCTCAGATCCTGGAATGGTTATGGAGGCAAGTTTTAAGACCTCTGGCACTGCGCCAGATTACTTCAACCAGCCAGGACTAGGTAATCTGGAGCCCATAATCCCCTTAACCCTTGCCTGCATCTGTGCGCTCCTGAAGTTTTCCAGCTATTTCTAAGGAGGTTTCAGGAAACTGTTAATTCCAGAATGTTACTTGAGTGAATCTGAATCTTATTTCATAAACTGAAGGATACAAGAAATATAACTTGATCTATATTTTAAGCCTTCATTTTTTAGGTAGAAACCTAATCCCAGTGAGTTTGGGAATTCTAACTCATCGTTGTTTGCTTTTGGATTTTGGAGGATCTTACACAGTGCTGAGGCGTTTGAGGGTTGGGAAAGCCATCTGGGTATCACTCGCCCTCAGCCCTCTTCATTGTTCCACCTGGTCCTTGGTGTTTGGTCCCTAAAGGTTGCCCTGGGATAGCCTTTGTTCTTATTGGCAAGATAATGGACCCTTCAGGTCCAGTGGTGCCCACTTCTATTCCTGTGGAACCCTTGAGTCCAAATAATGGGCTGTGGAGGACAAAGAGTTTGTCTCAGGTTCATCTGCAAGACATTCATGCAGATGAATGCATACTTTTATGCTTTTATTGGGCACATGAAACCATTCTGTTTCTCCTTCACCAGCTGGAGCCCGGGGAACACCTTAAGCCATTTGAGGCGCTATCCTCCTAGACATAATGATGCATCCACTTTCCGCTAGGGTCTTGCCTCTTGCCAAGGTTTTGTCTGGGCACGAGGCACAGGTCAGCTGCTTCAGATTCCACAGACCTGTCTGGGAGTTGCTGCATCCCAGGGTTCTTTTCTCACTGGATCCCAGATATCTATCCATACATCCATCCTTGTCTCATCTCCAGCACCTTATCTTCCCTCTCCTACCACCTAGCATGGGGAGTCACTTTCTGTTTTAGAAGACTTCTTATTCATCATGTAATTCTAAATCGATATGGTTTTTTAAATTCTCCATAGAGAATTTAACAGACATAGTCTGTTAAAAATCAAAAGCAGGAAGATACTCCTATTTCTCTGCTATTTTTCTCATAGCCTTTCAATGAAGTAACAACTGTGGAAAGGCTTGGCTGCTGAATTTATTTACTGGGCAGTAGGCGTAGGAGAAGGAGTAGTGAGAAGAGCTGAGGGAGACAGTAGATATCAGAGAAAAAAAGTTGGATAATATTCACAATTTCATCATGCTACATGAGTCACAGACATGTGAATGTCATCACATGCTGGATGGGGCTCAGAGCACCTTCCTGGGCCCACACTGATCTACACAACATTTCTGGGCAATTCTGTGTGTCCTGCAGCCCCCTGTGGTTTTAGGAGTCCAGCTCCTACACTGGCTACTTAATCTCTAAGCTTCTCTCCTCTCCTTTCCGCTCTACAGGGAAGACACTAGTACCTACCTCATAGAATTGTAGCTGGAATTCGACAACCTACCCTAGCACTCACTGTAGGCACGCAGGCAGTGATAGCTATTATTAACAACAGTAACAATAAAAGTGATTCAGGACAGTTTATTGTTCAGTTCTCTCCATTTTCAAATTTTGAAATAGTCTTGATATTGGCTGTCGGATAACTGTTTTTACTCTCTGATTTACCAATACAATTTCAAACATTAGCAGAGTATTTCTTTTAGCAGCTTTCTGGGATCTCTTCCCACCCATCCACCTACCCTTTATTCCTCCTGTCTTTTTCCCCTTCATAAACAAACTGTTCCTTTTCTAATCAGCACGTCTGCCCCCACACCCCGTCACTGTTGTAGTCAACACAGATGGTTGTTCGGAAATTCTGTTAATGCGAGCTGACGTGCAGAGGTGTTTTTGGAAAGGTATGGACAAAACTGAGTCAAACCTCCACGTACTCAGAGCACAAGTTACATAAAGGAAACCCGAGGTGGATTCTCTTGGAAAATGAATAATCTTCTCATATTTTGTCTTGTAAAGACAATTTGTGTGTTTTACAGTTTTCCTATAGTGAAAGAAACTCATACATAATTTGCCTTAAATACGAAGTATTTATTTAATTAAAAAAAAAACACAGTCCAGAAAGGAACGGAGCCAAGTCTGCCATTTCTCTGTTCATATTTCATTATTTCATGCCTGTTAAACTGCCAATCCCGTGAGAAGTGGAAGGGATCCTGTGTGTTGTCTATTAACTGGTGACTGTGTTGACAAGGGTTTATTGTGTCTACTCTAGAAACCTCAGCAAATACGGCGCTTCTCAGCTATGCCCTGGCAGATCTCAATATTCCCCAAGTTAGACTCACATTTCCCCACAAAAACTCAACTGACAATTTGCCAAAGAGCTTAAATCGATAGTTAGAGTCCTCTGTGCCTGTGTGCACACACACACGCCACGCACATGTATTTCATGTCAAGGACGTTAGCAGTATTTTTCACTTTTTCAGTAAATTGGGCCGTTGATGTCAGGGCACATTTAGAAGTTGAATTCTTTTATTAATATTCATTTGCTCTGCTGCTGCTTATACTTGCCAGCAAACGAATATTCATGGAATTCCTGAAATAGCTATTCATTGTTAGATTAATTGCCTCCTGTTCTTGTTTTTCATGAATACTTGCTAATGGTTTTTATAATGTAATTCTTTTGACAGGGTGTGTATATACGTGCATGTATATGTATGTGTACATATATACATATACACACACGCACGCATAATAATAATAATGTTTATAAAGAACACTGGGATAAATGGCTCAGAAGCTTGGCTGCCCAGAGGCCGAGGGGATGAGCACACCTGCATCCTCTTGAAGACACACCAGCACGCCCTGGGCATAGGCTGAGAAGGTATTTATTGTGCATTGCAGACATCATATAGTCTTGATTTTTGCAAAGAACATTATTACCTTGACCTTGTGATGGCATAAATTGTTTCTCTAATCACCAGTGTTCTGTTTCATATTCTACAAAAGGGCACTGTTGCTCTCCAGCTGCTCCCCTTTCTGAGGAACTTGTAGAAATGGAAAGAGGGGAATAAACTCTGCAGGGTCTTTGCTGGGCAGGCAACTTGGGTCTCTGCTCTCCTTCTGCGACCAAATGACTTCACGTGAACACTGAGTGCAAAGCTCAGTTCCCTCAGGGTTCAGAGGGAAGGAGAAGTTCAGGCACACTTCCAAAAACCTGCTGGTTGTTATCACTTCTTGGCCTTTTGGCTAAGATCCAGCGTAAAAAACTCCTGGTTATGTCTGAGCCGATCTGCTTCTAGATGCCAGGGCCTCAGGTGACCTTGTTCCTTCTTTCTTGCACACTCATTCCTGTCTCCTACTCTCAAAACAGACACAAATACAACAGTTTCAAAGCACTTGAAAAATAATATAAATGTAAAACTTTTCTCTTATTCGCATTTAAATAAAGTATCCTTTCGTCACTTCAAGTATGTTATTGGAACAGTGATGGGCTCATTTAGGGGAAAAAAAGAGATGCATCCATTCACAAGTCCTAGGTTTTGAGCCCCAGAACTACCACTAACTAAATGAGCAAAGTTAGCTAATTTCTAAGCCTTTTCAATAACATGGGGCTGATAATAGCTGCCCCATTTCCCTGTCAGAGCTGATCTGAAAATAAAAAGGAGAGCTCATATATGAAAATATTTTGTCAGTCTAAAAGCAAAAGGTAAATATAATTTGTTGTTGTTGTAAAAGTGTCCGGCAGCTGCGTGGAAGAATTTGGGTACTGAGAGTTGGTAAGCGCAGCTCTGATAATGACAAAGTTGACACGTGTGTTCTTCCTTGTTCCCTCTCTTATCCTGCAGAGTAACCTGATACACTACCTGGGACTGAGCCATCACCTACTTGCACTGAATTTTATCATTGTTTCTTTTGGCAAAAAAAGTGCATGGTCGTCTGCCCGAGTGAAGGTGACTGACACTGACTTTGACGGTGTGGAAGTCAGAGTGTTCGAAGGCCCTCCAAAGCCGGAAGAGCCACTGAGACGCAGTGTTGTTTATATCCACGGAGGAGGCTGGGCCTTGGCAAGTCCAAGTATGTCTTGGTCACCCTCAGATTGTTTGGCATTGTGGTTGGCCCTGGGGGAGATGTGTGATTGAGTTTAGCTTTCTTAGTGGGAAGGGGAGGGGGACCATTTGTCTCAGCTCCCCTGGACAGTCCCAGTTACCCTTGCTGTCTCAGCACAATTATAAATAGTGTCCCCTTTTCACTCTCAAAGGGCTCTGGTTTGGATGATATATTATATGGTTACCCAAGTAAAGGTTTTTGCTTGTTGGTTTGTTTGTTAATTCAGGGAGGTTTTTTTTTCCTCCTGAGACAACGAACAAGCTGATGAAAATATTTCCTGTGATCTGAATCATAGATTATTGTGAAGTGCTGATGATAACTTTCTGCACCAAAACAAGGTGAGGGAGTTTTATGTGTAGCTTTTTTGCCCATTTGTGCCTTGAAGACATATTTCTATGAAACAGAACAGGTATTTTCTTAATATACATGTTAACTCAACATTTTATCTGCTTATGAAAGCAAAGATTAAGATATAAAAGATATGCAACCATTAAAGGGAAACAGTCTTGCAAAGTTCAGGAATATTTTCTTTAAAGTTGGACAACTTTCATGAGTAGAACACATTCCAAATGGCAGGCAGCCAGGTAGAACAGCCCAGGGGAAAGCCTACCAAAGAAGATGTTGGGACCTTATCTCTGCCTGTAATGATCACGGAACTATTAATACTTCCTCATCTTTAGCCCTGGGCTTTTGGCATCCCATAAGTTTAAAAGCAATGGCAGTTTGTTTGTTTATTATTATACGACTTTTTTATGTCACTTTTTTAATGCAGCAAAGGTCAAAAGTATAACTTTTTGTAGTAATCCCATTTAACTCCATATCCATTGTTTATTCTTTTATTCAGTGATTTTTTTCATGTTTTCAGTAGATGTTCACTGAATATGTAAGTTTCCTGGGGTATAGGACTTCAGTGCAAAAACCCAAACAGTTGTGCACCAGCCTGGACCCCTGGTCACTCTAATGTGTGCTGGAGGATAGGGATACAAAAACGAATAGGACAGAGTCTCTGACTTAGAAAAGACTGAATCTTTAGCATTGGACACTTGCCAGGTGAGATTGCCCTGGAGGACAGGAAGCATAGGTATCAGGAATGGTATGGGTTACAAGAGCCAACCTGGCCTTTTCTGCATAATTTTGACGGATCACTCCTGCCAGAGGAAGAGCTTAGGCTGGTGGAGGTATGCAGGTGCTTATGTAGTTCTTAAACCTTTGGTTCTAAGACTACCCGGGAAAGCCTATAAATAAGGAAACTTTGGCTCTCTGTTGCCACTGTGTAGATATTAATTTATTGAAAGTTGTCCTTGTCGTAAGAGATTAAATTCTTACATACTAAAATTGCTTCTGTCACTGCAGACCTTTGGATCCTCTTTCTAAGAAGTGCTAGGACTTCCCAAAATTCTAGTTTCTTATGTGTTGGTTTAAAGAGAATATCATATTATTCAAATGGGTGACTTTCGTGAATTATAGCAAATGAGGATGTTGAAAGAGTAAAATTTTATGAAACTACTTACTTGCTGTGGTTTTTTTGAAAGTTACATACATTTGAAGAGCTACAAAATCAGAATTAATTTGGTGCATTTCATATAGTCCATTATGAAATAAATGTTTAATTAGTTACATATTCAAAATCTAATGTAGATTTCCTTTTATTTATAGTAATTGCATTTTATTAGAAACCAGATTTAATTTTTGCATTTGTACATTAATTTTATTAAGACCCTTGTCCACATTTGCTTTTTATTATGTTTTTATCATTAATAACTGAACTCCAAGTCTAAAAACAATCTACACTTAGCAGAATTTGAGACTGGACAGTATTAAATGACCTGTTTGGTAGTGATTGTTCTTTGTCTCTTTTAGAAATCAAGTATTATGACGAGCTGTGTGCAACAATGGCTGAGGAATTGAATGCTGTCATTGTCTCCATTGAGTAAGTAATTAATGCTAGTCATAGAAAATCTTATTTTATTAAGAAAGGATTGTAGATAACAGTCTAGTTACTTAATTTTGCCAGTGATAAAGTAAAGTATAAAATAAAGGTCCAAGGTGGTGAAGTGATTTGCCCAAGGTCACACTCCACATAATAAGAAAGAAGTGATTTCTGATATAATAAAATTTCTTGAACCAGCTTTATAACACTTTGAATTACCTTTTTTAGTTTTAGTTTTGGAAGCTCCTGGAAAAGGAATTAACTGAAAACTAGAGAAATGTACAATCAGTTACCTGCAACATAAAAGTTTGATACTAACTTTTTTAATCTAAAAAGCAATCAGGATTTTAAGAGAATCTCTGTTACAGCCAATAGTTGGAAAAGTTACTCTCTTAGAGTCAGATCCTATAACTTGGGCCTTGGAAATAGAAGTAAGTGTTCAATAAATCTTAAAGGCATAGTTAGTAGTAGTAGTAGTAGTAGTAGTAGTAATATTAATAGTTTGAGTTATCTCAACTAACCAGTTCCATGTAAGCTACTTTTCTGGGCAACTAAGAAGTATGTGGATAATAATTGTAACAATTATAGTGATAGTAATAATACAAAAATCATGATGTTCATTCTATGTCACGCATTGTACAAGAGCTTTTGCATGTGTATTTGTCCTTCTTTAGGTCTTTGTTTAGATACCATCCTCTCAGCCAGGCCTTCCTTGACAGGCCCATGTAAAATCGTAGCCCACCTTCCTTTGTTTTATTTTTCTCCAAAGCTATCATCGATGTCTTACAGACCATACATTTAACTTATTATGTGGGTTTTTTCACGAAGATCAACAAGAAAATTAACTTATTGTGTGTTTATTGTAGTAAATGGAAATCGACAATATGAACTTCATAAAGGCAAGAATTTTAAGGATTTTTTATTCATTGCTGAATCATTAGTGCCTAGAAACATCCCTGGCATATCATGGGCATTCAGTAAATATTTATGGAATGAATGAATGAAGTGTCTTACTTAATTCTCAGATATAGTTTCCAAGATAATATTTTGATATCTTTTTCACAAATAAGGAAATTGAGACCCAAGAAGCTAAATAATTTACCTGAGGCCAAATAGTGATCTAGTCACATAGATGGGCTGGGGGAATCGAACCCAGATCAGATAGCTCCCGAGATGCCTATACCTTTTTGACCCATTAGCAAGCCAATACTGAAGGAAGCTGAGATGCTGAGTGACAAGACAGTGCCAGCAACAACCTTTTCACGCCCCAAGCTCATTCAGTTATCCCTTTCCCCTGCCTCTCTGTCACCTGCTTGCCCGTTGATGGCTCACCTCCTTGCTCCTACCCGAGATCTGAGATCTAAAAGAATCCTTTCTTCTGCCTTCTCTTGGAAAGGCTGTTCTGACCCTGTGGACAAAAACCCTAGACTCACACAAAGTGGTGCTGTGGCCGCCTCCTTAGCAGATTTGGCTCCAGACAGCTCTGGACAGCTCCCAGGCCTTTCCAAACTCTCAGCTGGGCCTCCCAGATCACTCAAGGGCTCTCAGTGCAGTTTGGTAATGCAGGAACCTTCAAGTAAACGATCGTGGCAGCTGGCCAAAGGAAAGCAGGGGCTGTTTAAGCAGCGAAGCCCCATTATGGGGCAAGACCCCACAGCTGGGTATTGAGGGACAAGCTTCAGGAGCCCAGTGGTGTTTACTATGTAGCCCTAGCTTATTGCAGGCCTGAGTGAAGGAAGGAAGTTGGGCTTACTTCACTTGGGAACGAGAGGATTCTTAATTCACCACACAGGACTTACCCTCCAAGGCTTCAGTATTAGCAGTTGGCAACAGGCCCCAGAGCTGTTCCTGCCTGCCCTTCTCTACCTATCAACATCCGTCTCAAGTGAAACAGGTTCTTTTGCGTCTAGGCTTATCATAAACCACAGAAGAATGTATAAGATGTTTTTAAGGAGATTTTCTTAAAAAAGAACTAAAATATAGAAGGGACTGCTTTCATCTTCACTTTCCACTGTGCCTAACCTACACAGTGTGGCATCCAGATGGGAGACTTCACAGAGCAGCCAACAGGTACCATGACTCATGACTGTGTGACCTCAGGCAAGTCACTTGAACTCATGTCAAAAAGGGGTTCGGAATCCTTCCTGTGTGTTTTGAGCTACTGGGGAAAGAGCCAGGTGTAGTGGCATATGGCTGTATTCCCAGCTGTTCGGGAGGCTAAGGTGGGAAGATTGTGTGAGCCCAGAAGTTTGAGACTAGCCTGAGCAACATAGTGAGACCTTGTCTCGTTAAAAAAAAAAAAAATCAAAAAATCCTGGGAACAGAAATCATGTCTTCTTTCCTTCCTTTGTATGTCCAGCACCTAGTACAAGGCTTAGAGCGTGCGTGCTAAGAAAATATACGTTGACTAGGGATAATGACTTCAGAGAGTTGTCATGAGAATCAGTTTAGACAGCTGATATGAAAAGACTTCTGATGTTCAAAAGCACTAGACAAGTCTGGAAAATTAGTGCTTTAGTCTACAGAACGAGAAGGTCAACTTACAAATGTGCGTTTGGAACTCAGCACTTTTTTTTACAGAAATAATGAGATGATAGTCCTTGTTAGGATCTAGGCCAGCCCACAGACAGCATATGCTCTAGTTAAGGTATAGCTAACATCGTATGATCTTGTCGTTTCTCTTGGAAAGTATGTTCAGAGATCTAACTTGGGAACATAGTTCTTCTCACTGACTCACTTCTTTCCTCTTACTTTTATTCCATAAATATTTATTGAATTCCTATTCTATACCAGGTACTGTGTTAAGTTCTGGTGACAGATTAATTCCTGCCCTTATCGAGTTTACCATCTAGATGAGAAAGCAAACCTTGAACAAGTCATAGTAAGTGTGAGAAGTGATGTGAAGTAGAAGGGAAGTAGTAATGGAAGCATCTAATAGACAAGACCTTAGCAAACCTAAGTAGCATCACAAATAATTTCATCCTACAGAGAGAAAATACTGTTGCTTTTAAAAAGTGTTTTTTCCCCTTCACTATTGTCAGTGAATCTCTCCTTTTAGACGTATTTAATTGATGTCACTTTGGCTCCGTTTTCTACTAACATTAAAAAAACCACCATCTTCTCTCTTGTGGTTTAAATCTTTTAGAGTTTTGGGGGAGGCGGGGGCAGAAACTGGAGCTTTAGGAAAGGACTACGTTACCGCCACAGAACACCTATGAATGACCCCAGCCGTTGTTCAAAGGGACAGAAAAGGTATCTTAAAGAAAGTATTGTTTGGACAAGTCCCTAAGGATGAGCAGAACCTAGTTAGACAAAGTGAGTTGGCCACAGAAGTCCAAAGTGGTGTACTGAGAGAGCCTGGGAGAGAAGAGAGGGGGCAGAGAGCATTGCGGGAATGAAATACAAGAGACGATGGATGGGATGGAAAGTCTAGGGGTGACTGAGAAGGGCAAAAGTAAGGGCGGTGAGCCTGAGGGGCTTCAGGAGGATGGTGGACCCTTGCTTCTCCTGCAATTCCACCTTCTAGCAGAGAGGCTGTCTGCAGCCAGCTATTCCTTATCCTTGAGGCCCACAGGAGCCGGCAGTGGTGTCTTGGCTTCACTTCACGTGGGTTGTGGCATTGGGGAAGATGATCGTCTGTGGAAGCTGGTGGGCAAGGATTAGGGACAGCCCTGGTGATGGAGTCACCTCATGTGGTGTGAGACCAGGAGTGGGGACTCTGAGTCATGTCACTGGTGCTGGCTCAAGGGTGTAAGGATAGACTCAATAACCGAAGAAGGTAAAAGCCTTGAATTACACAAAATAGGTAAAAACCATGCCTACTATTTAGTAGCTTTTACAACACTGTGCTATTTTTACATATTAATTGCACAATGAGTAATCGTTAAACAAATGAAAAAGTTTAACTTACAATATCGTTTCTAAGATACACAGATGTACACTTATTTAGATAACCTAGGAAGGTCTTATTTTATATTGATAAACTGATTTTATCATATATTCATAAACTTCAGTGCAGTTTAGCTGTAACACAGTACCTTTTTATCTCTAGTATGTATAATGAAACGCAATACTAGAACCCTAATACAAAAGTGACAAGGAAGGTTTAATTATCTTTTTTAAAAAGATAAAATACAAGATAATAAAGTAAGCATGTTGGATGTTATTCTACATGGGATTTACCTTGCTTTTTGGGGTGTGGAAAATGGATACAAATTGTGTTTTGCTTTTAATTAAATCTTTACTACATTCATAAGCTCTCCATTTTATGTGGATGCCTTTAGACCTATTCCCATTCCAGCAACCGGTAGGGGGCATTGCGTGTAGAGAACGTAAAACTCTACAGAGCTGTAAAGAAAAATGCTGCTGATGTGGACAGAGCAGACGTTGGAGCACTGATCTTGGTTTGCTGCTCACAGGATCATGAGCAATGGGACTTTAATGCTCCTGGTTTTTTTATCCTTAAAATGAGAAGAGGGCGAGCTGACAAAATCACAGTGCTTTTAGGAGGCGCGGTAGGACACACATCTGCATAACTATTTGTACATTTAAAATAGTCTGAAAAAGACTTAGCGACAGTGACCCAGCTCTGACCTTCCCTCTGCTCCTTGTCCTGCTCTTCTTTAGGGTCACGAGCCAGTGGAGAAATCCTTGCTCGTCACCGCATTGGTCAGCCCTGCAAGGTGGGCAGACTAAATTCCTCAGGAGTTCCCCTTCCAAAAAAGGGAAGACTTGCTCAAAGCTTGCCTTTTACTGGGTCCAGGCTGACTGACCTTAGCAAACCTAAGTAGCATCACAAATAATTTCATCCTACAGAGAGAAAATACTGTTGCTTTTAAAAAGTGTTTTTTCCCCTTCACTATTGTCACTGAATCTCTCCTTTTAGACGTATTTAATTGATGTCACTTTGGCTCCGTTTTCTACTAACATTAAAAAAACCACCATCTTCTCTCTTGTGGTTTAAGTCTTTTAGAGTTTTGGGGGCGGCGGGGGCAGAAACT